GTCTTTCCATCATTCCCTGCTGAATATGCTTCTCTCACAACAGGTTGTTCTTTTGAAAGCCCAGTGCAGTTTCAAGAAAACAACAGTGTTGGTGATGTTGTGACAACAATTTCAGTCACACCTGGAGAGACAATTGCCATTACAAATGCAAACGTGCCATTTGGAATTAATGGAAACCAGCTGATCGCGACTGAAGTGTTGGACCGTGAGGTAACTTGTGCAAGATTTGTACCATATATATATATATATATATATATACACAGAGAGAGAGTGAGTGAGTCAATGTTTCTTTTGTTTGTGTTTTACAGGAGACACAGACCTATGCTCTTGGTATAAGATGTACTCTGGAAGGTGGATCGGTGAGACTATTTTCTGATTGTTAAAAAAAAAAAAAACCCAGCTATAATATTATGGACATGACATTTTAAATTCATAGAAATAATTTAATTCACTTATTGATAACTGATAACTGGGGCTTATTGGAATGTATGTGTGATTGAACTGGAATGACTTCTTTTGGAAAATGAGGTTACATTTGTTGTGACATGATGGCATATAAATAAAGTGAACTGAATTGAAAAGTATTTAAATGTTTCACCAGAAACAAGAAGGCAATCACAACTTTCACATTTACACTAGCAGAAAATCAAGCATTGCAAGAAGCTGTGATGAATTAAAATAATAATTAGGATGTAAATGAAGCACAATCAAACATGTTGATGCAGTGTGGCAAAAATTTATTTTTTATTTATTTTTTAAATAAATAAATAAATAAATTATTGCCACACTGCATCAACATGTTTGATTGTGCTTCATTTACATCCTAATTATTATTTTAATTGAATTGGCAATAACTGAATGTTCATAACACACTTTTATCCCAGTCTAGATTATAGGACGGATTCATTTGTATCAGTTGTATGCTGGGGTCATGTTTGTATTTTTATCTTTTTTTCTTTTGTGTATCAGCCAATCACAGTCCCAGGAAGACAGTGTCACTCCTAGAAAAGGGGTCAACCCCATCTCGACACTAAGTTAGGAATTTCTGTTGATTCTTCACTCAGTTTCTCAGCAGCTGACTGAATCGGTCTTTATGCTAGGACTCCTTAGCAACAGTTCTTAGGCTAAGATAGGAGCTCTCTGAGAATCTTTGAGAATATGGGCCCAGATGTTTGAAGACAGAATTTCATAGTTTGATTACTGGTAAAAACAAAAGAAAGAATAAAAGAAATAGTTGTAAAAAGAAATAATAAAAAGGGTATACAACCTACTGCCTTCAAAACCTACACTTGTGTTTGGGTATTCTTTCTCTGTTTCTTTTTGAATTACCTATTAATTGACACGACCCTGGCTCCGTCCCCATGTATAAGTGTCCTTATGACAAAAAAATAAAAAGTAAAAAAAATGGGATATTTAGTACCGGTTACCTTTATTCAGACAATCATGTGGTAGTTGCTGTCGATCACAGTTTCTTTCAACTGGAAGAAAGAAAGCTGCAGGCCTTCATCCATCTCTTGCATTATTCCAGACTCGTTTGGGTTTTGGAAATTTAATAAATTGTATTCTGCCCTGTAAACACTCTGGGTGATGGCTGTCAGGATAGCGTGTTCCCCACTGACAACCATGACTTCCTATTATATTCCTCGAAATTTTTATGACTGCACAGCGTTGGCAATGATGAACCCCAGCAATGTTGACGGAGGTTCAGTTCCTCCAGATAAGGGACATGTACTTCGGGACAAATAGCAATTGCCGATTGGTCAGGTGCTGACAAACCCCCTAGAATGATTGACAGGTGGCTACATGTCAATTGCTGTTACAGTAGCTCACAGGAAGAAGACAATGAACAAAAAATATCTAAATGTTTTTTTTTTTTTTTTCTAGATTTCAAAAACTATTGTGGTAATTGTGCAAGATGTGAATGACAACAAACCAATTTTTGAGAAGGATTTGTATCAGGAAAAAGTTGAAGAGGTAAGATTTGGACAGATATCTGCAGAATGAAAATAACTGTTGAGGACACACAGCTTGTAATTAGATTTCTCTTGACCTTTAACATTTCATTTTCTGTGGTCTGTTTCTAACCAGCTGTCTAAGATAGACAGCTCTGTGGGTGAGTTTCCTGCCACTGACCTTGATGGACCTGTGCTCTACTACACGCTGACATCTGAATCTGAACCTGTATGATACAATTAGTATGGTGTTTTACTTTTAAGATGTTTATTTTAAATATGTCTATATATATTTCCATGCCATTGTAGCAACTAGCTTATGCATTTTTGTTGTGCTGTTTGATTTCTCTAGGATGCCTTTAAGCTGAGGTCACAAAGTACGCCAGAAATCCTTGTGAATAGACCTCTTGATTATGATAAAGTCAAAGAAGTTCAACTAATACTGAGAGCCCAAGTAAGTTTTTTTTTTTCACCAAACATTTACAGTTTTTAGGATTGCTTAGACAGAATTGAGGAAACAGACCGTTTTCTCCAAAACACTTAATAAGCTTAGCAGAATGCCACATATTCTTTCCAAAACTTTTTGCAAACAATTAGCGAGCATTGCTAATTTCAGTGTTTGCTAATTAGCAAAATTAGGTGGAACTGCATATCCCCTGAGCTTATCATACAAACAATTTCTCAGTCCAGCACTCATGAGAATGATGTTAAAGGTTTGAGAGCAGAAGCTGTTTCCCACACGTTTCAGAAACAGAGGCTCATTTTCAAGCCACTCGATTGCTAAGTCAAACTTCCTTTGATATGTGCAGCATTTTTATAACAACTGAAGATAACATGGTTATTTGATTATGCCTGGAAAATACTGCCCCTTTAAAGTTTGTAAAATAATAATAATAATAATAGTAATAATAATAATAATAATAAAAACATGCACTATTTTACAAAAACTGCATAAATTCAGTTTTCTTGCAACAGCAAAAGTTTAATAATTTTATCTGTTTGGCTTTCCACATTTCATAGATCTATAGATGTAAAATTATGCGTTTCAGCCCTACAAGGTAGGTGGCAATATGCAGCTTTAAACCGGTTGCAAGGAAAAGAAGAATCCTATATGCTGTGAACACGAGAATGACTCTTTAGAGCAGTGTTTCTCAATGCCAGTCCTCAGGGACCACTGCCCTGCACATTTCATGTTTGTCTCTCTTTCAGTACACCTGATTCAAAAAATTGCACAACCTCTTCCTCAGTCATCAAATGCACCAGAAGCCTGATAATCACCCATTTATTCAGGCCCGGTGTGCTGCAGAAGACAAGCACCAAAAACATGCAGGGCTGTGGTCCCTGAGGACTGGTACTGAGAAACACTGCTCTAGAATAGTCTTTCTCAAACTGTGGTCCTTGAACCACATAAGATCAAATAAAAAAGAAAAAATTCCAAATAGAAAACAAAAAGGAAATAACGAAATCCAAGTGCAAATGTTTGTTTGAACAGCAGAGCGTTCAGTTGGGATTTAAAGACAGACATTGTGCCAGAGGGTTCTTTACAGTGACTGAGTAGAAGTTTATCATGTGTATAAGTTGCACACTTACAGAATGGAAATGCTCTCTATTCATAAAGACACATTCTGAAGGATAAAGGAAATGGACCAGTAACAGTCCAGCTCCAATTGGACCAGTAACGCACGGTTCCCTTTTTGCTCAGAGCTCTGGGATGATCAGTCTGGACAATCTAAATGCTAATAAACCATCATCAATATATCTGAGCAGAACAATATGGCCTCTGAACACAAGCGCCTGCCGAATCCTTCTATTGACGATGTTCTTCATCAGTGCCAAAACATTCGGTTTATACATGAGGCCCCAGGTGCTTGGCAAGTTGACTGGTCGGGAGCCTTGGTGTGTCAATTTCTGGCTTGAGCTCTGAAACCCAACTCATTGAGAGGAACTGTACTTTCTTACTTCTGACTTGCCAAGGGAGAGAGATGTCAGTGAGGGAATCTCACAGGCCCCCAACAGAGTAGGTTGATTATGGAGTTTCTCCAGCTAGCAAAGTCCTCTCCTCTTTATGACCTGAAGGGGTGATCTAGAAGCATGGCTTTCCTAATATGAACCTAAACAGTGTTTTGGTATTGGACTTCTGTATGGAATGTCTTTAACAAACACCATGTTTAAGCACCAGGTGGCTCTTCTCTCTGCAAAGCATTGTTTCTCAAAGACCTTGACCTTATGTTTTAGGTGTTTCCCTTCTGCCACACACCTGACTTGAATAAGTGGGTGATTAACAGGCTTCTGTGGCATTTGATGGCATTTAAAGGAGGTCACACAATCATTTGAATCAGGTGTTCTGGAACAGAGACCCATCTAAAATATGCAGAGCATTTCTGAGGATCAGAATTGAGAAACACTGCAATAGAGGGAGCTAAAGACTCATACCTCAGACCTCATATACTTGGAGCTCATAACCAAAGATAAATCAACAAAACACCAAACATACAAAGAGCTTTTCAGTGGTTATAGGAAGGATTTAATTGTAGTAATGCCAATTTTCTGTTGATTATTGAGAATGATATAAATTGTTTTCAATATATTTTTATAATGAAATGTAAATGAAAACTTGTTTTTTTTTTTTTTGTCTTACAAAGCTGATCCAGCTTTTACATATTCATTCTTTGAGAGCTGCCTGAATCATTTCTTAATAGAAGTAAACTTCTCAAATGAGTGAATATAAATAATTTTGAGGTCTGCTATGGGTATGTATAATTTTGGGCTTAACGGTACTCTCTCACTTTTAAGGATACACCTCTGACTTCTCCACCTGAAGGGCCATCATTCACTGCTACCACAACCATCATGATCTCAATCACAGACACTGATAACCGACCTCCATGGTTCGAACCTTGTACCAGGCATACAATAAATGAAGTAGTGATTTGCCAGAATCCAGGCTACACTGGCAGAATTAACTTAAATGAACAAGAGGTAAGTCATTTCCTAGGAAATGATGAAAGAGAACATATGAAGTATTCTCCAATACATTTCTCTGGCCAGCTTTTGGCTTCTGGCTTTTTCTTGTAATTATCTGAAGTTACCATTCCTTATGTAATCTTTGTGAAGATATACCTGTATATTGTCAATTCCTTTATAGACTGGAGTGTTGCCTCTGAAGCCAGGACCTCTTTATGCTGTTGATGGAGACTTTGGAATAAAAGAGGAGATTACCTATTACATCATTGCTGGTAAGCGACCTGGTTTGTCACATGAGCATGTTTTACAAAACTGGTGACAAAAAGCTTATTCTGATGGCCAAACTGTATCAGAAGGAGGAAGTAGCTTCTTGAATCTGTGTTTCAGGAAATGAGGACAGCCTTTTTCAGATTAATCCAAACTCTGGAAACATCACCATGCTGAGGCCAACAGACGTTGTGGAGGAAATTGCACTGACAGTTCTGGTACAGTAAATTCAATGGTAACACTTTATTTGAAGGGGGGTGAATAAGACTGTCATGACACTTTCATAAACATGACATAACACCTGTCATGAATATGAATAACCCTTCATGAATATTTATGACTGTTGTCATAAAGTGTCATTCGGTAAATTATGACACTTTTAATACAAAGTTGACATTATTCAAAATGTCTTTGTTATGACAACTTGACATTAACCAAGAAATCATTACTGTTTAAACTTTACCTTTAATAACATAAAGATACCTAATTTTTAAAGTGCAATCAGTAATACTTTTATAACAAATTTATATCAGTAATGATTTCTTGGTTAATATCAAGTTGCCATAACAAAGACATTTTGAATAATGTCAACTTTGTATTAAAAGTGTCATAATTTACCAAATGACGCTTTATGACAACAGTCATAAATATTCATGAAGGGTTATTCATGTTCATGACAAAGTCAACTTTCATAACATACATCTCTATTATTCCGTGAATCTATTTTCAACTTCAACAAAGAAATATATTCAAACAATGTTTTGAAACTGTGAACCAATCAAATAAAAAAAATACTGCATTTAGTAATTTTATTCCTGAATAAAATGAATAAACACAGTTCTCTATTTAATTTGATCACTTCACAATTTCAAGTAGTAAAGATCTTCTAGGACCACTGCCACCAGTTTACTTTTAAGTCTCTCCTCATAGAAACTTTTAATATTTGAGATCTTACAAACTTCTTAACCAGAATGTGTTTCACATATAGGCTGCTCAGACGAAAAACACTCATCAGTTAGCAACCACAACAGTGACGATCAGTGTCCGAGTGACGAGCCTTCATGCTCCAGAGTTTCAGAAGACTCAATATGAAGCTCTGATCACTTCAGTGGGCTCTATGGCAATGGACCTGACCAACAAGGATCAGCCTTTACAGATCATTGCTACAGATGAGGACTACATTGGCGCTGGGGTAAATCGTTTCAACACTCCTTCTGGCTGAGGTGGATAACATGTGAACTGACAATGAGAAATTATAATGGAGAGACAACATTAAGATTCAGGCATCAACTGATATGTGTTACTATTTCATTTTTAATTATTGCTTTTAGAAATTTGAAGTTTTTCTTTATTACTTTGGAAACATGGTCTGTGGATTTCTTGGAAACACTTGAAACCCTTGTAAAGGCCTCGTAAACATTAAAAATTTTTTCAAAACTTTTTTATTCATAATAGCTCTTCATAAATATGGAATCATTTCCAGCAGGCCTCAATGGGGCACTGTAATGCAGCTACAGAGATTCACCAGTTATGCAGGACGCACATAAAACTGTCAAAGTGAAGCTATGACATAAGTGTTTTCACAAAACTTTCTACACAAAAACACATTTGAAGACTTTCTTCAACTCTGGGATGCCTTTCTGAAAAGATGACAGCTCCTGAAGCACTGCAGGACCTAATGTCTATAAACATTCAGCATATTCCCAAAACAGGACTTAGTTCAAATTCCTCATCTTGTTTTCATCTCCTAATTTCTCAGACATTACCATAAAGGCAATAAATGTTTTGACATATCTTTGCAATCTCTTCAAACAGGGAATAAACCCCAACATCACCTACTCAATCAAAGGTAGCAGTGATTTTGCTATTATTGGTGGCTACCTGTTCTTGACCAAAGATCTGCCAGAGAGCTCAGTATCACTCCAGGTAATTTTAAGGGTAGTTGGATCTTAACTAGGCTGACTGGGATCTCTTTGTATTGGATGCTCAACTCCAATTATGTGTTCCAGGTTGTGGCAACAGACATTTCTAATGATGAAACAGCTACAGCAGCGCTCCGAGTTGAACTGACATCAGGTAGGTCTAAACACCAGTAAATAAAACATTTCATGGGAACACTTTATTTGAAGGGGTGTGCATAAGACTGACATGACAATGTCATAAACATGACATAACACCTGTCACGAACATAAAGTCTTTATGAATGCCAACTTTGCATTAAATTATCATAATTTATAAAATCATGCAAAGTTGCCATTTTTAATGGACTTTTAATGCAACTTTTAGAGCAACTTTATTTAAAGTCGACACCTTCTGTGTCGACTTTAAATAATGACACAGAAGGTGTCATTATTTACCGAATGACACTTCATGACAACTGTCATAAACATTCATAAAGACTTCTTTATGTTCATGACAGGTGTTATGTCATGTTTATGACAGTGTCATGTCAGTCTTATGCACACCCCTTCAAATAAAGTGTTACCCATTTCACTTAGGCTTTTGATTGGCTCATTGTGAATATTCCCAAAAAGTCTTGCTACAACAGTATTTCTTTTATTTTAAAGAAACAAAGCGAATGTTTGACATTTGTGTTTGGTCACATTCACAATGTATGTTCTGTGGTTGGACTGCCCTCATAACAATCTGTCCTTGCTCATAAACAAGGAGCCAAATTCAGGGGAGTATGTGACTGTATGGAAGTTTACGGTTTTTCTTACAATATTATTTGACTTGCATTGCTGTCAATGACTTTCAGCACATCAGTATTAGGTTCGTTTGTTCTTATTTTAAAAATCTGAAATCCACATTTTTCTTGGAACATATCAAAAGTACTTTACATCCATGGTGAAGCATTTGAAATAAATATGCTTCAAAGTGAGGCTGCACAGTGGCGCATTTGGTAGAGCTGCTGCCTTGCAGCAAGAAGGTTCTGGGTTCAATTCAGGCCTGGGGGCTTTCTGCATGGAGTTTGCATGTTCTCCCTGTGCATGTGTGGGTTCTCTCTAGGTACTCTCTGGTTTGGTTTCTCTAAATTCTCCCTCCCTAGGTGTGTGGGTGTGGTTGTTTGTCCTGTCTCCTGACCCTACTAGGGATAAGGGTGTACAGAAAATGGATGGATGGATGCTTCAAAGTGTGTTCTCCTCTCAGGTCTCTCTACCACCACTTTGCCTCAGAGCACTACAGACTCTATGACCACAACAGCCATAGAGAAATCCACCTCTGACAGCGAGACAACCAAAGAGATCATGCCCACCAGTGACTCCACTTTGTCAACTGACACCATCTTCACCACGAGGCCCACAGAAGGAGTCTCAACTGCAAGCACATCTCAACATTGTAACATTTGTCTCAACGCCTTAAACAAAAACATGGAAGGATGACAAATGATCCTTTCAGAGTGTTGTCCCAACATAAATGAAACTGGGTCCCATTTCTTGTTCAGACCAATGTCCTTCATCTTGGACAAACAACAGTCTTGTTGACATTAAAACAAACCAATCACACTACACGGTTTTTTAGTCATAGTTGGATAGTTCAGGCCAGTGTAAAGACAGAGTTATAAGTCATTTCTTCTGTTCATTTTAAACACAAGTAATCACATCACACTGATCACAAATACTTTCAAACAATCCTTAAGAACATTTTTGTAATTTTTTCTTTTGTTGCAGTGGGACCATCTGGTGAGTTTGGAATTGTGGACATGGCTGCATTGGGGGCAACCTTGGGTGTTCTTTTGTTTCTCTGTGTGCTGGTCATCGGGTTGCTTGTTTATCGCATGAGGAAGGGAAATGCAGCCTGGAAGAAGATCCAAGAGGCCAGCATGTTTCGGAGCTCTGTAAGTAAAAGCAAAGCATAACCCCCCCCCCCTCCAAGAGTAGCAGGGCAAGAGCACTGCTAAAGCAAGGAACCAACAAGAGATCTTTGAGGCACATTGGGTGATTGCTGGATGTTGCTTCCTGATAAAGGAGAGTTTTCCCTTTCTGCTGTCCAGAATATTGAGCACTCCTGAAAAATGCTGCACTCATCAACTGCACTTCATCTAACAAAACACACACACACATATATATATAATAAATCTAATTCCCTTCTCACCCTCCGCGGGTGGTCTCTCTTTCAT